TTTTCTGAAGGAGGGTCTAGGCCCGAAACGTCAGCTTTCCTGCTCCTATGCTGCTGCTCGGCCTGCTGTGTTCATCCAGCTCTACATCTTGTTATCTCAGATTCTCCAGTGTCTGCAGTTCCTACTACCCCTTCCTTACCTACCCCATTTTACTAAGATGTTAAATAATTTTTCGGTTCCCAGCACTGAAGAGGATTCAGTCTGTAATGTTGACATGTGACTTTTGTTTCTACAGGTATTGATTGACCCTACTGTTTATATTGCCAACACCTTCTGTTTTTGTTTCCGCTTTCCAACATTTGGTTTTCAACAAAAACTTTATACTCCTTAGATTTAGGCTAGATAGTTTATTCATCAAATGGGTAATCTGGCACCAGTAGAGATCCATTCAGCCCCTCAAGCCTGCCTTGTCTTTCAAACAATATCTGATTCCTTCAGGGATGAATAATAGAAGGGCTGCAACACAATTGGTTGATTCTGTTGCTAGGGCTAGACTGAAACGCAAGAAACCTCTGCTTCGCCCTGTGAAACCAATATAGCAAGACAAATAACTGCCTCTACTTTGTCAGAGAACATTTATAGCAGTAGATAAAAGGAACAAAAACAACCTGAGGCCACGATAAAATCTCTTGCAAAATAAGACATTTAATACTTTGTTTATGCGCTAAAATCCATACAGCAAAAAAAAAATCCATGGGCATTTCAAGGTAGCAATTCCTATTAATAAAACAGCCCAGCTTGTAACTATAACCAGGGCGGGGTTATGGAAAAGTATTCTGTAAATTGCAAGGCTGTTCTAAACACACACACACTCATTAGGTGGAATTAAGATCAAGTGATCATTCTCCCATTTGCTCCAGTAATAGAACATTACAATGGCTAGCATCCTGCTAAATCACCCAGAAAATTCTACATTAACAAACTGAAAACCAAGTAAAAACTGTAACTTTGCATTTGAGTTTCTATGGCTACTAGACAACACCATTTACACAATATCTTAAACTTGAAAGTATTGCCTGATCCTTCACAGAAGTCATTTGAAAACACATCAAAAAGTAGTAATTAGAAAGGGTGACTAATAGCTTGGTCGAAGAGATGCCTTTTAAAATAAAAAGAGGCAGACTGATAGAGGGGTTAGAAGCTCATGTGGTTTTCTGTAAGAAACCAAGCCTGTGAATATTCTGGTTCAGTCTCAGACTACTCCCAGAAAGAAGGATGGGTTTGGTGGCTAGGTCGGAGATTGTGTGATGGAGCCAAGTGATAGAACATAAAGAAATCAAAAGTAGAAATAGTCCATTCAGCGCCCCCAAGTCTGCCTTGTATTTCAATAAGATCATGGCTAATTTACACCAAGCCTCAACTTTCATGCCAGCTCCTCAGTAAATCTGGAAGTAATTGGGGAGTGCAGGAGAGCGAGAGTGAGCAGTTACAATATCTGAAAACATGAGCCAGAAAGGAACTGAATGGTCAGTAATTTGGGGTGGGGGGGGGGAATGGATCAAGGGAACAGGTAATAGGTCTCATGGACAACAGGCGCTTAGAATGGGCATGAGGGGATTTAAGAGAAAGACCACAGTGGAGCTCTTTCAACAGTTAGTCAAAATAAAAAGAAACTATACAGGAAGCCCATCAAACCTTCGGTTTATGTTTCAACAAAATTTACCGGTTTCTTTTATGATGATTCAAGTCAGGCTACAATGCAAGCCAAGGTGAAAACCTGAAAGTCAGATCTACAAAAACTAGCAGTAGTCAGATTAATTCACCACTGCAAATTCAGCATTAGAGCCCACTGGGGCTAGAACTGACAGAAATTTCAATATTCTCAAATTCAAAATAGTATCAACTGTTTCTAAGATTTCCTAAACGGCTTTTGTTTCTGTGCAATCCATATCATCAGAGCAAGCACAAGGGGAACATTACAAAGTGGCACATCATTATTACTGGAGGACTAACTGATGGGAAATGTTTGAAAAGGACAATATTCTGAACAGAAACAGAGGAAAAAAGTGGGAACAGAGGAAAAAAGTGGAATTACAGATATACAAGTTATTAAAGAAAACAGTGAAGGCTAATGTATTTGTCAGGATGTAGACAATACTGATAAGACCATGCCTTTCGTCCATTTCCTAATTAATTGTATTTATAACTGAGAAAGCTAGCTAGGTCATTTCAGATGGCATTAGCAGTTGGTCACAGGGCAAATTAACAGTATCAAGTTTAATTCCCTGAAGAAGTAGTTAACTGTTTACAACAATACAAGTTTTAAACAATGCAAGTCATAATGTGGACATTTTCTTCTCCCTAATATCTCCTATGTGAGCGTATAAGTTACCAGATTTAGTTACTCTAAGACAAGTGATTTCCCTCAGCTACCTTGCTTACACTTCCACCCATCCAGTTTCCTGAAAGGCAGCTTATTCCATTCCCTCAGTTTCTCCATCTTACTTCATCTGATCAGCTGATATCACCTTCCACATCAATGCAGCTGCTGAAAAACAATTTTATTTACAGTCTTTGACATAACAAGATACCCCAAGGCATTTTGTGGAAGTGTTAGAGAAACAATATCTGACACCAAGCCATATAAGGAAATATGATCAAAAGCTTGGTCAAAGGTAGGCTTTAACGAGCATTTTAAAACAAAAGTAAAAGTAAGGTAATAGTGAATTTTTGGTAGGTGGACATACGACTCTGACAATTTTAGAAAGATGTAGGGCTGGAGGAGACCACAGAGACAGGAGGGGAGTTAACATGGAGGGATTTCAAAATCTGGATGAGAATTTTAAAACTGGAGGCATTACTTAACCAAGAACTATCAATATAATTATAGAGGGAGGCGATGACTTGTGGTTTTATCACTAAAAACTATTAATCCAGAGACCCAGGTTCTAATCCTGCCAAGGCAAATAGAATTGATTTTTTTAAAATCCTGGAATTAATAGTCTAGTGATGACCATGTCAATTGTCAGAAGAAGCTTGGTCAAAGGTAGGTCCTGCCAGTCCTCCAGATGCTGCCTGGCTTGCTGTGTTCTTCCAGCCTCCTGTTTGTCTACCTTGGATTCCACCGTCTGCAGGGTCTTTTTTTGTCTCTGTCAGGAAAAGCCTACTGGTTCACTAATGTCCTTCAGGATAGGTAATCTGCTTTCCTTACCTGGTCTGGCTTATGTTACACCAGACCCATAGCAATGTAGTTGACTCTGAACGTTCCTCTGGGCAATTAGGGATGAGCAACAATTGCTAGCCTAGATAGTTTGTTTGCAAGGGTGAAATGGAACGAGGTTAGCATGACTGAAGGCAATGGTAATGTTTCAGCCTGTTGATCTATTCAGCTCCGGTTTCACCAAGTGCTGCAGACACAAACCTGGGAGGTCCTCACAGTGACCAGAGAAATTATAGGGAACGTAGGACATGGGTAGCAAAGTTTTGAACAACTTCACACTTAGAGGATAGAATGCAGGAGACAGTCCAGGCTGATAATTTCACAAAGAGGATGACCCCTACTATGATTGCCCCCATGCTACTCCCATTTCCTAAATTCTTTCCTCACTAAATTCCTCCAAGATTCATCAGGCTCCCTATGTCCTCACTTTCTCCATTCAACAGCTCATTCTCAGCTATTTCTGCCATATCTACCTGGGTGCCATCATTCAATGTCTTCAATTCCGCACTCCCCTCCCCAGCTTGTCCGATGGGACTGTGCCCTCTGGTTCACTCTTTGATCACATTCAGCACACAGTACCCATTTTCCACCATCCAAGCCACACACACACACACACACACAACAAAATCACTCTATATTTCTTCTAAGTTGGCATACTGATACTCACCACACTAAATGCTGCCTTCTCTACATTGAGAGAGACTACATCAATGTGGCCACCTAGCCAAACAGAATGGTGCCATGTTTTCAATCATTTGTCATTTTAATTCTCCAATCTGAACTTCAACCTCAGATTGGAGTTTGAGGAACAGCCCCTCCTGCTTTGATGAGGCACTTTGTAAACTGACTTTTGAACAGAGTTCAACAGTTTAAAAGTTCTAAAAACAACACCCTTTTTTTTAAGAAACCAGCTTCAGACACTGAATGTTAGTATTGGTTTTGTCACTTTTTTTTCCTCCCTCACCCCATTACAACTTCTTCTAGCCTTGCACCAACCATTCTTTGTCATTTAATCATTCCTACATCTCAAACTATTGCAGCCTCTCTTTCCTTCCCTCTCTGTTATAGCTAAAATAAAGCACTAGTTAATCTCTAACCTTTGCCAGTTTTGAAATAACCTGAAACAATTGACATAGTAAGAACTGCCGATGCTGGAGTCAGAGATAACACAGTGTGGAGCTGGAAGGAAAAAGTCCTGAAACAATTGGAGTTTTTTTTCCTCTCTACAGGTACAGCTTGGTCGGTTGCACACTTCAGAACTTATGACCGTAAAAGCAGAACCTAGCCAGTGATTTACAGCAGAATATCAAACTAACACAATTTAATGGGGTTAATACAAAAAGTTTAAAAATAAGTCTTTTGGGTCTGTGTCAGGAAGCAAAAAATATTTGAAATTTGAAATGTGAAATGGGAGACAAACCACAGCCTAAAATTCTGAAAGAGTCATGCAAGTCAGAGCTGAATATAATGATGGTAGCTCCGTGGGATAGAGCAAACAATAACAGCTTCCATTTTACAGCCACACAGTATTCCTTTAGCTCATGTCTCATAATGTTGCAACTTCAACAGATTCTGTCAAAACATTTGAGTCCTCCCTCACATTTCATTCCCCATTCCTGAGGTCATATCAATTAATATATCAAATTCAGCGTGAATCATGGGGAAGGGAAAGGATTAAAATGAGTCAACGCAGGAACTTAAAAACTTTAAGATAGACTATTAACCAGGAACGCAGCTCATGATTCACGGAAATGTAACTTCAGACCGAATGTTATAAGTGATAACTGCCACTAAACACACCCCGGAACTCCTTTAAAGACGGTAAATGGTGTGAAGGTACCTGTTGTCAGATCCAGTGGGCCAGGGCAGCTAACAAAGGGATGTCCAGGATTCTCTAAAAGTATCCCGCTCGTTGAAACTCTTTTTAACTATAGTTTGGCTCTGCTTTTGTTCCATAGAAAGTTCAGAAGTTAAACGCCGAATGATCATAATATAAACAAGGTTCTGAAACAAGAGAGAATAAAACACAGTCAGCTGCTGTTACTCAGTGCAAAATAGGACTCGCGGCTTAACCATCATAGAATACCTCACCTCAAAACCAAACAAGGTTAACTGATCACGTTATATGTTATTAATAAGCAAAATGCATGAAGCTATTTTAAAATTCACCTTATGCTTCGTATGTTTAGAATGTTTGAAAGAAAATACAATCCCATATATTTTGATTTCGATTTAACCAGCGACTTCTTTTTTTAAAAAAAAATGCAAAATATGACGCGTTATCAGCGAATTTTGCCAGAAAGTTTTTAAAGCAGATTCAAAATACAATCGATTTGCCGGTTACCGTGAAATGATATATATTACCTGATAACTAAATGAATCCTTTTCCTACGGGAGAATACAGTGATGTATGCGTTTGCTGCTACGGCGCTGTTATGTAGCCGTAATATGGCCCACAGTTCGATATCTGTTCCCAGCGCTTCCTCTTATATACACAGCGTCAGAGGCCACCTCACTGATGTGCAACAATAGGGGAGGGACTCGCTTTCCTGTATCTCTTTTGCATTAGCAACATCGTGTGCAACGGTCACCAACAAAGGACTTTGAAAAAAATTCCTCCCCTACCTCGGGGCCAATAGTTGTATGTTGAAGTTGTCCCCTTGTTGCTGTATGCAAATATCTCTTCATCCCGGTTATTACCAAATAAACGCAAGTCTATTGTGCTGAGCTGCAACATGTTTTACTGCAAGCGTCACTTCGGAATCAAGGGGCAAGATCAGTGTCCTCTCATGCAGCACCCTGTTGGGGGGACAGTTTGGATGGAGGGACTGCAGAGGTGGGGGAGTGGGTTGGAGGTATAAACGGGGAAGGACAGGGTCTGAGCAAGGAGGAGGGGGTGCACAGAGGGGAGAGGGTGAAGGGAAGTCAAGGTTTGAATTGGGGGGGGTGTAGATAGAAAGGTGTAGCATAGGAAGGCCAGGGTTTGACTTGGGCAGGGTAGGGGTTTTAAAGATAGGAGTAGGGTATGGTTTGGGAGCAAAGTGTAGAGCGGAACTGGTTACAGAAGAGGGGATACAGCTCTTCTTCTGCCCTCCCCCCAACATTGCTGGGGGATGTCGAGCAAGGCTGGGTGTTACAGGACAAGGTTGGAAAGAGAACAGAGTGGGAAGGTGGGGTCAAGATACATTGGATGAGCAGAGCAGAGCTTGAGGTTGGTTAATAGTGGAAGCCTTTGTAAGAGACCACAGAAGTTATCAGTTCATGAGTTGAGAAATGAACATTAGAGAGGACTGGTGGTATTAAATCACTGTCCTGTTAATCCAGAGTCCCAGATTAAAGTCTGGGGACCCAGGTTCAAATCATGCCATGGCAGATACTGGAATTTGAATTCAATTTTTAAAAATCTGGAATTAAGAATTCATTGACAATTATCAGGGAAAACCCCATCTGGTTCACTAGTGTCTCTTAGGGAAGGAAACTGCCATCTTTACCTGGTCTGGCCTACATATGACTCCAGACCCATAGCAATGTGGTTGACCTTTAACTACCTTCTGGGCAATTAGGGATGGGCAATAAATGCTGCCTAGCCAATGATACTCAGCTCCCATGAATTAACTAAAAAAAAGGCAACAGGTGGTGAACTGCAACAAGTGACCCAGAAAATATTAAACTGCTGGCCTTGCACTTGCTCAGAAAGGGAGAAATAAACTTGTATGGTGCCTTTCAGAGTGAAGGTGCTTTCATAGTTGACTAAATATGTTGACAATACTGTCACTGATGTCAGAGGAAACAAAGCATGTTCACATTGTAAGCTACTAGAAACAGCAATGAGAAAATGACCAGTTAATCTACTGGTTAATAATCACGGCAGGGACAAAAAGACAAAAAACGAATCTTGGACCTAACTAGAGTTTTCCAAAGTCTAATCCAAATAGTTACTTGGTTGTATAGAACTTGGGTATTGCTGTGAAAAGCACACATTTTGTTGAAGCTTTTCATCTGGCACTTGTCACTTCAATTTGCAAGAAATACTACTGTAAAGGGTAACCAACATTTAAGCTGTAGGAGAGGTACATTCTGATTGATAGAGATGTTGACAGGGACAATGCATCAGTTAATGATGACTGCCAGTTAACTGTCAAACATTTTTCAAATCTTAAAACTGGAAGGTTGACACTGATTGATTAAGGCATTGCCCTGAGAAATGAATAAAAAACTGCATTGGCAATGGGTCAGAATGAGCATGTTGTCTGAGGAAAGATTGCCCTTGAGAAATGAACCAGAGAATGGCTCTCTCTCATATTATGTTGAGTTGAAACAAGCAAAAAAGTGTGTGTACATTTTTTTTTCTCTCTGCAAAGAACAGGGCCCTGCCTATTAATATAGAATCATAGAATCCCTACAGTGTGGACGCAGGCCCTTCGGCCCAACAAGTCCACATCGACCCTCAGAGCATTCCACCCAGACACATCCCCCTATAAACCCACCTAATGTACACATCCATGAACACTACTGGGCAATTTAGCATGGCCAATCCACCCAGCCTGCAAATCTTTGGACCGTGGAAGGAAGCCGGAGCACCTGGAGGGAACCCATGCAGACATGGGGAGAATGTGTAAACTCCACACAGACAGTCGCCCGAGGGTGGAATCAAACCCAGGTCCCTGGTGCTGTCAGACAGCAATGTTAACCACTGTGCCACCGTGCCACCCATATATGTAGCTTGCAGTATGCTTGTGCTTGCAGAATTCCTGGTGTCCAACATTAGATGTGATTGCATGATTGGACCACATTTGCTAAGTAATCCTGTGCAACAAGTTAGGCTAACAACCAATCTAGGATAATCAGCCAGGCTTGCAGTGTGGCACACTTGCATGTGCCAGAAGTTACATATATTACCTGTCACCCTATATTGGCGACTGGCCCCAACTTTAAAGTTTGTCTTACAAACCCCAAACCGAAATTCCCTCATTCCAAACCCTGGAGATTTGTTCAGAAATTAGCATCTTTTAAAAGTTTCCAATATAATGTGAACTAACAGAATAATTAGCACACAATCAGTTTACCTGAGAATTTCATACAGACTTATTTAGTAACTCAACTACAACTTGCTCTCACAGGTAACTATGTACAGTCCTCCAACTTGCTTTTACTGAATTGCTCATGGCAGTTGATATTGGGATTTTGTACATGTCCTTTGCTCATTAGTATATCCAGCTCTTGAAGCAATAATACAAATACTCATTCTGAAAAATCCTCACCGTGCTCAGTGCAAAAGGCTGAAAATTTAGCAACTGTCATCAGCCAGAAAGGCTGATTGATGATACAATGCAGCATCTTCCTACATCAGATTCTCAGAGCTGTCAGTCTTCAGTTGTTTGATTCACTCCATGTGGCACCAAAAAAATGACTGAAGGTACGGAATACCACAAAGGTTATAGGCCCTGAGAATATTCCAGCAATAGCACGGACACTCACACACCATGACTGAATTAGAAACAACTTTACCGTGAGCTCCACATTGTAAGCCTGCTTCAACTTTTGTTCTAGTTGTGTCAGCAGCACAGACTAATTTGCAAATTCTGTCTTAACAGTGTTAGTTAAATCAACATGAACTGCTGAAATAGTCCTGAAAAATGAGAATATTTAAATGGAAAAATCCAAAGATAGAAATTTTAAGATTTTGACTACAGGGATTGTGATGATTTGCTTTGGCAGTTTGTTCCATTGTGGCATTGTCCTTGAGAAAAATATTTTTTTAATACATTAGGTGGAATTTTTCAACTTGAAGTTAAAGAATGGTGGCAGGTGTTAGATGGTGTCATGTCTACCATGGGCCATATTCTCACATGTTCACCCGCTTCTCATTATCTATGCAAGCAAGATATTGGGAATAATGCGGTGAGCAAGAAGTTTCTGTCACTGCTAAACCTTCTGAGTTTGAACGCTCTGGTGCCATATTTGATGGGCAGCTGGGTTCCAGATGCAGCAAACAAGACAGTATCCCTTGGCAAATGCTCCAAAGAAAGTCAAACTAACCTCAAGGTTTACAGATACTGTCCTGCAGGCACTGGACAATCACATCACTGAGAAGGTCAGTAAACCTTCTAGCTGACTGCATGAGATCAGCCACCAGACCTGTCCGGCCTGGGTAGAGACTACAGCACAGTCACTGTGTGGCTGCTATAAAGAGGGAAAGCAAGCAGTGCTGGGAAGTAGTCAATGACTTCCTGCACTCCACATGGGTATGGAACCAACCTCTCTCACACTCACAGGGTCACTAACTCTGACACAGCATGTGCATCTCACCAATGTTGATGGACTGCAATCCTCTGAATTGCAAGAATCATGTCCATTCAAGGGCTCTCACCCACCTCATCTTATACCACCACCTACCCTCTGCACTCCCTACTCACCAACTCACATGGTTGTACATGATCACAAACTGCTCCTGCATCCACTCTATCTCATTGCAGGAAAAATTTGTCTAAAACCAGGCTGCAGAGCCAAGACTAGAATGGGTGGAATGACAGCCATAGAGTCTTCACCTGCCTCTAACATGTCCAGAGAAGCAGCTGCCAGTTGCCTGCATGTCTCTGCGTGTGTTGGTATGACCCTGTCTCCTTGGGACAAGGAGACACCTGGAGTGAGGTGGAGGATCCTCATTTAGGAGGAGTACCCATGGCCAACATGGAATGCAAGTCTGAATGCAGACTCAGCAGCCACTGATTGTTCTTCTGGACCTGGATTTCCAAGGCCACTACCACCATTTCCATGGAAAGCACCATTCACTTGCATTTCAGTGCCACCATAAATAGTTAGAATGGTGCAGACCTCTCCATCTTACATTGCAGCCTACAGAGAGCCTTGGTACACCTATCTGTGCAGGTTAACCATGTCACTTCTGCCTGAGGATAGGGGCATATGTTCTGTAAAAGACTGAGCAGGTACCTAATCTCTGGCAGTCCGCCGAGTGTTAGAGAACTCAGGCCTTTCTAGCATCTGCTGGAATCTTTTTTTATCTACGTGACCTGGTTAAGTTCCAGATCCATAAAGAAATGGAGCATATTCAAACAGCAGAAGGATGTGATCTGTTGCAAGTGTCAAATATTGGTTACTTGCTCATAGTTCGATCCCCCACACTGACCCTGTGGGAGAGATGGTCGAAATGTGAAACACTTCCACATATTTCGCAAGCAAAAGATTTCTCAGATTCCTGCCCTTCCCAGAGGAATGCTGTCAGACTTAAGTCAGTGAGATAGCCAATGACTAACTCACATACTCCCTTTTACTCAACATTCAGGAAAGAGGTGAGCAAATTGCAGTATGAGCACTGTCAGATAGATCATTGGGGTATAGCAAGGGACCAGTGCAGTCTCATTGCAATGTGCAGCAATTAAAGGAATGGTGATGGACATTCCCTCAAAAGAACATTCTCAAGATGAGCTAACATGGTGTAGAGCTGGATGA